GTTTGTGTGTCCAAATAAATAGTTTCAGAATACAGGGGGTCTCACAGACAGTGAGATTTATGTACGGTCACTTTGTATATTCTTTTTGACTTTTAAGGCTCACAGAGGTTCATGTGTGGCTTAATCCTGAAAGTCACTGAGCAGCAGTAAGACCAGGTCTTCAGCACCCAAAGTCCTCTCATTAGAAACGTTGGCAATGCTTGAAGTGGCATCACCCAGGTGGCTTTTGCTGTTAGCGTCACTGTCATTGGTTCATCAGGTAATGCTGGAATTACCCCTTATAACAACACTTTCTTCATAGATTCCTGGCTGAAGGCAGCTTGTCACTTTAGCTTTAAACTTTTTCAGTTGACAGGCTTTTAGGGAGGAAAAAGTATGTATTTTGGCACATTTTCTGTTGTAAATAGTACCCTGAAGTGACATGCAGATTTTTAAAATCCCAGGAACAACATTTTGAAGTACTGTTGGCAAGGAACTTGCTGACTGATGTTTTGCTTGTTTGTTTTAATACGTATTTTCTTCAGTTTAAAAACTTAGTAAAGAATCTTCTTCAGGCACCTAGTTTAACAATATCTTGTTGCTGTTATTAGGATTGCAGTGCTATTTTATATCATTGGCATTTCCACAGTTGTACATGAAACATTATGTGTTTGCTTGAGGCAGCAGTTGGGTCTTCTCTCACCCCCTCCCACCCACCCCATGGATAATTTACATGGCATTGTCGTGTTAGGTATTCCTAAGAAAATGATACCATGACAACTGCCACAACAGATGGTATGTTTCCTGTCTCTAAGATACAGTGCAAACAGTCACTGATGTTCTGCCCTTTTGTAATTTGTAAAATACTTGGGGGCTCCACTCAAAATGTTATGAATCAAAACAGATTCCCTTGAAAAAATATGATGCTAATAGCTTGTGTTTGTTGAGAGAGATGCACAAAAATAGAATTACACAGAACAATAGATCTCCTGAACCTAATATCAAATTTTCAATTAACACCAATTGCCTTTTAATCTTAGTCCTTCTGTTCCTACACCAAAAATTAATAAATATTTTCAGTGACATTTCCCTAGAAAATTACACATTTGTGTTTGCAATATTTCATGCAGAGCTTGCAACTAACTAGTTATAAGTAATATAACCGGTAGTTACAAAGTTATAGTGAAGCAATGTAACAAGAGGTTACAAATTACTTTTTGGGGAATGGCAAACTGGTTGCTATCAAAGTATACTTTTATTTACAGTAAAGGCATTTTGGATATATTTTGACTGGATATTTTCAGGTTTCGTGTCATTCTCTTTTATCAGTCCTAAGTAGCAAGGGAAGTATTCTTTAGCTTTGTCTTTTGCATTTTTTAAAAAAAACTATTTGTAAGGTGCAAATGTCAGAATTAGACACTGGGGGAAAGAAAGTAGAATGAGAGCATATTTTCCTGCATTTTTGCAGCTGGCTGACAACAATAGTGCAATGCAACACAACAACAAAAATATTTGCTTGACCAGAACATCAGTGATGATGAGACAACCTAACTGACTAAAGGTGTTTGTCGCAATGAATTCCTTTAAAGAAAAATTCAGAACTTTTAACTTTATTTAGGTTTCCACTAGGTTTTAATTTATCATTCATAACTTATTTTAAAACATTGTTACTTTCCATTTACACTGTAGAATTCAGCATGCGTCTACTCTCCTTCGGAATTGTTTTCCAGTTTGCTGGATCCCTGCAAGTACACCTAGAATTCCATGTGTCCTCCTGCTGGATTGGGATAATCCACATACTGTACTCCTGTGTTGATTTTAGCAGCACTGATCATATGTTTGAAAGAGCTGGAGGGACTGAATTATTCCATTTTACTCCCATAGGTGACAGCTTATTATTTTATCTGATCTAACATTTTGTGCAACTGCTTGGAAAACAATGTACTGTAGTGTATAATCCAGGCTAACGTAGTTTGAACTTCTAGAGGTTTAGCCTAAACTCTGAAGGGTATCTGCTCATGAAGAGCCCCCAGAACTTCAGAAGCCTGATTCCATCACACAATAAAGTGTTGGAGTTGCCAACAGGAGACTGTCTGTTCTTCCACCTTCTGACACCAATGATTTTTAATATTGGCGGTTGTTCAGGCACCTCCTCTGAGTCCCTGTGTCAGCTTGGTTCATCAAGAGCCCCAGTCTACAGGTCATTCAGGATCCCCTATTTATAGAAGTCTGGTGTAGCCAGAAGGAATCACTCTCTTTTCTTTTCTTTTCTTTTCCTTTCTTCGCTGCACTTCCAGGCTTGATCATAGCCTCTCTTTTTTTGTTTTCAATTGTTTTGCCAGCCAAGGAGGTCTGTGATCCTGTAAGTGCTGGAGCTGGTATGTGTGTCCTCTTTGAATTTTCATGAGTGGAGGAGACTACCTGAGATGGCTTGCTGAACAGACTAAATGGTTATGAAAAATAAATTATTTTTGTGCCAGAACTGAGAGCCATTTATCATTGATGGAATAATAATCAGAGCTGCACACCTAATACTGGTGTGTGTGGTGTGTGTGTGTGTGTGTGTGTTCTACAACCCTGTGTTGAGTATGCAATTAGCCACACATTGGGCACTTAACAGAGAGAAAAAAGGTACTGTACTGGTATCTCAACTGCATAGGGTGCCTGCAGATTGGAAGAGGCCACTATATGAGACAACAAAATAGATTGATAAACTTAACTTTGGTTATGATATAAATAATGGTAGCTGCGAAGAGGCTACACAGACCATCCATAAATCCTTTTTCTGCTATAAGTGATGTTTGCCAGAACACACTTACCAAGCTGGAAAGATTTTACTACTTATACTTTTCCCATTGCCGAGCTTTATTGCCTGCTATTACAAGCAAGCCGTATAGCCACTTTGTAACAAGTCTAGGCTGCTGTTAAATGATATTTCACCAAATATAGCTTCAAACCTACCTGGCAACAAAATATATGTTAAATGGCAATATTTTGCTGTATACGGATATGGTCAAACATCAAGTCTTGTGTGGGTAAACTGAAAATCTCTGTGTGTTTTCAAATATGCAACATAAACAAGGAACTCTTTGGAGAAAAAAGACTAGTTTGAGTATTTCATATACATTGTCAGAAGAAAGACTTCACCATTGAAACCAGAGAGAAACTGATCTTTTCTGAGGGGATAATAAATACATGTGTTTCATCCTCACATGCTCAAAGTGGGCTTGATGTCCCATTTTCATACATTTAAATATGTTTGAGTCCCAGGATGTGCAAGGCTGTTCGTATGAGCGTTAGACTCTTTCGTTTGTAAATCTCTGTGAGCGTGTCTCTCAAAACCAAGACAGATGGACCTTTATCCTGTAAATAAATAGTAGACCAGAAAGCTAGAACCTTAGCTGCAACTTGGTTTTGCTTTTTATGTGGGGATTCATTTATAGCAATGGGGAAGGGAAGTTTGTACAGATTAGACAACAAAAAGCAGAAACATGTAGAGGATTTAAGGGATGGGGAAGGATACATTTTATTCAGTAATTAAAAAATAATTATGTGCTGTCAATTCAATTCCAAGTTATGGCACATGTAGAGGATTTAGGGGAAGAATACATTATATTCAGTAATTAAAAAAATAGTCATTATGTGCTGTCAAGTCAATTCCAAGTTATGACAGTCTTTTCCAGTGTTTTGTAGATGTACAGTACTGAGAAGTGGTTTACCATTCCTTCTTCTGGGGGCACTCAAGGTCTGTGCAGCCTGCTCACCGTTACATAGGCTAGCTCTTTTCCTGAGAGGCACAATGAATAATACGCTTACTGAGTACTGTTCCTGTTGCCTATTTTACTTTGTTTCTGTGGTATTGATAATTTGTATAATAGATGACCAATAACTAAGGAGCTATTGAGTGTTTAATTCTTTTCACGTCAGTATTACTAAGAAAAAAGGTTGACACAATCAGGTGATTTTTCTACTTTAGTAAGCAGAACCTAGTGCTTCTGTCACTCAATGTGGAGAAATTGAGTAGAGGCACATCTCCTCACATATAGCTTTCATAAAGATACTCCTGCAGTCCAACATAGGCTAGTTCATAAATATTCCTGCTTCCATTAAGCTTAAGAAGTAAGGGGGGGCCAGCATGAGAAACAGCAGTCCCCTTCAGTAATCAGCAGCTATTCGTAACATCTACAGAATTGTGTGAGTAAACATGCTCTAGATTCCAACTGAGGTTTTTGGTTTCCTTTCTTTAATTCTCATACCTCCATCACTATCAGTTTCTGGCCAGCTGTCCCACTGAAGAATACATGGAAAACTTTCTTTACATCAAACAGTTACAATGTTCCTTTTTTTATTTTTAGGAGACAGTAGCTAGAAACACTAGCAGGTTGTAATTTGGACTCATTCTGGTGATGGTGTGTTAGTATAGTTTGGGACACAAGTTGCCTTTAATGATGCCGTTTTGTTTTGTTTCAGAAGCAGCTGTCTGTGTTGTCCAGAGAATTTTATCAATGCTATGAAACCATCCCCCAAATAAATGTTTTGCTCTTGTGGTTAAAATTATGTAGACCTCATTAGAAACCCTTTCACGCAGTTTTCCATGTGGTTTATGCTTCCAGTCATATGTTGTTGAATATAAGGACACTTGAGTAGGCCAATCCACACAGGTTTAGCTAATAAGCTATATAGATTCCCTAGGCAATGCCATATGGGGAAGGACATAAATGGAATGTATAGTAACACAACATTTTAAGCTTATTTGGCCATATGAGAAATGAAGTGCCCACGCATTCACTATTCAAATGTTATCTGCCAGCAAAATAGATACTTCTCCTCAAATATCATGCAGGGGATTAGAGAAACCCTCTGGAGCAAATTTGAAGAACGTAGGAATAGGTGGAGGTCCTGACAGGCAACATAGTATGAATTTATCTACAACAAATTGCTCTCACATTCATAATAGAATGAAATCAAACTGTGCTTGCAATGCATTTTCCTTCATCTTTCTTTCTCTCTCTTTATCTCAGATTGAAAATATAGATGCATGCCTGAGTTTTTTGGCTGCCAAAGGAATAAATATACAGGGATTGTCTGCAGAAGGTGAGTCTATTTTACTTACTTACTCACTCGCTCACTCACTCACACACTTTTAATTAATTGTATGTATTTAACACGTAGTTATAAAAGAATCCCTCAACTTTTATGTTTTCTTGAAAGAAATGTTGAAGTGTTGAAGACAGGAGGGCCTGGCGTGCTCTGGTCCATGGGGTCACGAAGAGTCGGACACGACTAAACGACTAAACACACATGTATTTAAAATATTTTTATCCCAATTTTCTTCTAGAAAAGGACCCAAGGCAGCTCAAATAATTTAAAACACAATACTAAAAGCTAAAAACAGTAAAGTATTCAAATATTTAAAATGAATTAAATAAGCATTTTATTTTAAAAAATAGGTAAAAAAATAGGTAAAAGCATATCAATGTAGGATCTAAAAGCAACAAAACTTGCTTTTTAAAAACCTCTCTTAGACAGGCTATTACTAAGGAAAAGCCTGCCTGAAGAGAAGGATCTTCTGCTGTTTGTGGAAGGACTGGAAAAATGGGGCCAGTCTGGCCTCCCATAGGAGGGAGTTCTAAAATCGGGAAGCAGTAATGCAAAAGGCCTTCTCCTGTGCCCCCACCAAACACACCTGTGAAGATGCTTTTCTTTACATTAAGCTATTTCTTTTTACCACTCTTCCCAAACAGTGAGAATGACTCACAATGTGAAATGGCCTGGGCTTCATATGAACCCTCAGCAAGCCTGGTTCTGGGCACAGAAGCTGTGAGATCTTGGGATGGCCGGTGGTTGAGCTGGAGAAGCAAAGCTTACAGTTAGGGAAGTAATCAGGATATGACAGCAAAGAGGTTGATGGCTTGGAAGATAAAAGAAATAAAGTTGTTCCAGATCTTGGAAAATGCCAAAAAATAAAAATAAAAACATTTTTAAAAAAATCAATGTAGGACTTTAAGAAGGGCTTTCAAATGTTGAGAGTAAGAACTGAGGGTCAATGTTATGGGGAATGCATATATTTCCTTGCCAGAGTAGATGCTCCTCAGAGATAATTGCTTCAGGAATCATACCTGTGCATTCAGTCCCTGTTTAGCTTTCAGTGAATAGTCACCCAAAGAAAGTTTTTATTTCTATAAAATACTTTAAAGAATCATTTATACTAATGGACATCTTTCACCAAGGGAATACCTTTTCTGAAAATATGCTAAGAGGCTTTTCTACTTGGATCCAGAGATGAAATCAGTTTGGTAGCAGATAGAGGAGACACTGAAAGACTAAGGAAGAGAAGGATGTAGTAGTCAATGCCAGAGATGATCAGAGTGTTAACCAGAGGTTTGGGAGCAAAACCCAGAAGAGTAAAAGAAAATCACTGCAACTGTTACAATAGGATTGGCAAACAAACTAAGAACAGAATTTCCTTTCTTTTAGGCTGTAAGTTAATTTGCCAGAGGCTATTCAGAATATTCTTGTCGGCCAGGAATGCGTAGTTATAAAAGAATCCCTCAACTTTTATGTTTTCTTGAAAGAAATGTTGAAGTGTTGAAATACTATTTCATGTCTATGGTTCAAAAAATCAAACTATCATTCGTTTTATCTCTCTTCTTTTCTATTTGCAAGAGCAGAGGAGTTCAAGCTACTTTAATCAATGGCAGTCAAATCACTGCCCACTGTTCTACCTTGCACTTTTCTTGCTGTTCTTAGAATTAACAGTAGGATTTGCAAATATAGCAGAACCTGTTTTGTTTTGTTTTTTCTTGGTCATTTGTTTGTTGATCAGGCTCCATGAGCTTGGCCATCCTGCAGAGTTTTACTTGTGGAGAAGACTGCTGCTCTTTTTGTGACTTTTTTTTCTTCAGTATCATAGTAAATTTGAGAGTGCATTTGTATGTGTTGATGGCCAGAAATCTTAACTCAGAAGATCAACAACTCAGCAAAACATTCTCAGCTGGCATAAGGAAGTACATTATTTTTCAGTAGTAGACGTCTGCTAGCAAATGGAATTCTCTGGCTCTAAGTGTTAACACATCCAATTGCTGAGTGAATCCTGGATTCTTAGGCCAACGGGATAATCATTCTATGTTTCTTCTACTCTTATAGTGATAATTATGTGTCTTTTAGTCTATTCCCATTTTCCAGGGTTTTCTAGGTGTAAGTACTGAGGAGTGGTTTGCCAGACCTTTCTTTTGAGAATTGGGATTTATACAGCTTGCCCAGAGCTATTCAGGCTGGTCCTTCTCTTGCGATGCACAGTGGCCAATCTCCCAAACTCTGGCTCGGCAGGCACATACCCATCTCTCTGAGTTATGTTGATCTCTTAATGCTGATTATATTTATTCCTGAGATAAGAGTGTTGTGTGACAAAGACCTACAGGATATGATTCTTGAGTCAAAGCATGAAGCTGACAAAAACAAGAAGTTTGTTTCTGTTTTTCTTTGAACAGCATAAGTGGGTTTGAATTCAGGGCTCATTCACACATATTCTGGTATTTTGTTGTGAAATTATGTGAAAGTCCTCTCTGGGATTTTTCATTTATGAATAGCAAAGACATATTTCCACATACCTATTTGTTCCTCCATACTTCCCAGAGCTTCAAATACTATTTTGGAATTAAGTTCCCAGAATCTCCTACCCAGCAAGGCTACTGAGAGTTATAGTTCCCCCCTGCCTAATAATAATAATAATAATAATAATAATAATAATAATAATAATAATAATAATAATAATAATAATAATTGCTGGAACCAGTTGTATTGGCTCTTGCCTTTCCATTGGACCATTTCAGCAATGTGGAGAGGGGGGATTTGCTACTTGGGTAACAGCCTATCCTCCATATTATTTTACCCAGGCTTCGTGCTCTGGAGAGGACACTCCAGCTTCACATACAGCATCAAAGTCCTCCATACACCATAGTCTCTTGAGACTGAAGGATGCCTATTAACAACAACAACAACAACAACAACAACAACAACAATAATAATAATATCTTCAAGTTTTGTTCTTTCTTTTCTTCTTCCTTCTGCTTTCCTCCTAGTTTTCTCTGTTGCTTTGTTTGCTTGAGAGGTCAGTAGTGTAAGTCTCATGAAAAAAAGTGAATAATTTTTTAAAATTAGGATAAAGGAAATTGAGGCAACCAAGAGAACAGAAACCTCACAGCATGGGAGCTTCCAAACACCAGACTGAAAAAGACAAACCCTCCCTGCCCTCAAAGCCAAAACATCTGGCAATATTTTGTTTCCAGCTTTTTAAAGAACTTCCCCCCTTTTTTGTGTGGACAAAATGGAAATGACAGGGTTATACACTGTCAGTGTTGAAGAACTGCCTGTGTATATTTAAACAGACACAGAAGACAGAAGGGAGCAGTAAAAGGAAGTAATTCAGACTGTATGAGTCGGTGTAAAACAAAGAGGTTGATGTGGCCCATAATGTACAAAGTCCAGTGGCAAGGTGCCAGGTGAATTACCTCAGTCCATCTCATGAGATAAGAGAACAAGGAAGACATCTGTAGGGCTTATTTGAAACACAATTCAGGGCTTAGTTTCAAAAACCTACAACCAACACATTACAGAGTCTAATGATGTCTGCTCCAATTGTGGCTTCTCAGCTTTAGGGTATCCATTTTATCTGTAATGGTGAAGAGGCCTATTACCATGACGTGAACTGGAGGTGAAACAACACTAACCAGTGTAACATATTGGAGGAGTCACATAAGCTTTGCATCTTGAAAGCATCCTGATTCACATCATCACACACACACCCAAGCATGTTGTCAACATGCACATTGGCTTTTATACCTGTTAGCCACAAGTTTGATAGCTATGTTAGGTGACATGTACAAAATAATGAATGACTGTGCAGCTGTGTAAAGCCCAATTCGCTAATATGTGACTGGCACAGGGCTTTGTTGGGGCTGAGACTGTTGCTGCAGTGTCAAAACTTTGTCACATGCACTTTTAATAGGTCTAGCAGAGGTTTCCTCTTACACAGCGGTAGCTCCCAATGGCACCATGCAGTTTAATGTTGATTAATGTCTAGCTCACAAATCTTATTTGCACTCATGCCTACTCTTACGGAGTAGGTCGCATGGCTTGATAAAGTTACCTTTTTTGACTATAACCTCCAGGATTCTGCAGTCAACATGGCTACTTATCATGCTTTTGGGGGAGTTGTAATCCCCCCCCCAAGTAACTTTTCCAATTCTAGGTTATATCTGTTTGATATAACCTAGAATTAGTTCTCACCAATAGTCTATAGATTATTAGCATCATGCTCCCTTTTTCTTTTTTCTTTTCCTTTGAAATCAGTTATGTAATATATTTTACTTATTCATTATTTATTTGATTTGTTTGATTTATACCCCGCCCATCTGGCCTACAAGGCCACTCTAGGCGGCTTCCAATATACTATAAGCAATAAAAATACAAAAATACAAAATCATACATGACAAGTACAATACAAAGATAAAATAGAAAGTAAATGAAGGGAAAAGTAAACAGAAGATTAGGTATTAACTGGAGGGAAGGCCTGAATGTACAACCAAGTTTTTAATTGGGTTTTAAAGGTGCCCAGCGTGGGGGCCGCGCAAATCTCAGGAGGGGAGATTGTTCCAGAGGCGAGGAGCCACCACCGAGAAGGCCTGGTTCCATGTCTTTTCCTTCCGGGCCTCTCTCGGCGTCAGGCTCCTCCGCCTCACCTCCTGACTCGCACGGGTGATCCAGGTAGATCTTGACGGGAGCAGACGTTCCACCAAATATCGAGGTCCTAAACTGTTTAGGGCCTTATAAGTAAGCTTTAGAACTTTAAAGTCGATGCGGAAACGATTTTGTGATTTATGCCAAGTTTTAATCAGCTGTAGTAGCAGCAGCGGCAGCGGCAGCAGCATTTTGCAAAGAGTCTGTATTATGATACCGTTCATCTTCAAACAGGCAATTCTACTGAATGGACATTTCTTGTTGATTTAAAAGCCTTCTAAAAATTGTCTTTCAGAAATCAGGAATGGGAATTTAAAGGCCATTTTAGGCCTTTTCTTCAGCCTGTCACGCTACAAGCAGCAGCAACAGCAGCCTCCCAAACAGCATCCACAGCAACACCCATCCCAGCCACCGCCTACGTCGCCCCAGCCAGCTGGACCTCCATCCCAGTGTCAGGTTGGGCAACAAGAGCAGCAAGTGCAGCAGCCGCCGCAACCCCAGCAACTGGTGCCAGCTTCACCCCAGACTCAGTGCCAACAATCCCAGCAACCGCCACATCTTCAGCTAAAAGCACAACCAGAAATGCAATCCAGGTGTGTTATTTTCTGCAAAAAGTAGGTGCTTATCCATGTTAAGTATTTCACAAATGCAACGTAATGACTTATTTAGGATGCTATACATCTGGATACGTGTGCTTTCCATGAGAAGAAGGGTCCTAAAAAGCAGGGCTGTTGGTTTTTAAACCTTGAGTTCATTATCTTTATTTTTTTTTTTGCCCTGGCAACATTTTAAAACTCCCCTTAGCCATACTCAGGTATTAATTACCCTGCTCTACCTCATGCATGAGCAGAGGCATACCTAGTCTTGGCCCTCTCTTTCATTCCTCTCTCCAACGGGAGGAAACAAGACTACCAAGGAGAGATTCCTGTTCACCTGTAGGCTTTCCAGTATCCTAAAAAGCAGGGCTGTTGGTTTTTAAAACCACAACATAAAAGAAAGATGGAAGTAAGGTAAATATCCTGGAAACAGAAATTAAAGATGCAGTCAGAAGGATCACCTGTCTGTAATAAAGCAGCAGGAGGAGAGAACTAAATTGAGACTCTCCATTCCTCTCCAGAATGTCTCACTATGTGATTGCTGTTTGACTGACAGGATGGCCGTGACAACTGGATTGTCGGGAGAAGAAAATAGGTGTACAGGGACTTCATGTGCTTAGGGTTTGTGCTAGGAAGATGAATGTACCATGTCTTTATGTGACCCCTTTCTGGATTGGAATGTGTGTAAATGCTGGTGTGGTTAAAATTAGTGGTTGTAGAGTTCATACTATGGCTGAAATCCTATTGCTTAGAGTAGTACCTTGTAGCTGAGTAGACCCATTGAATCAGTGGGCATTTGGTGAGCTAAACCCTCTATAAGCTCCATTGATTTAAATGGGACTACTCTAGTTGCGACATACTTTAGCATAGTAAATTACAACTAGAGTAGGTCCATTTGAATCAGTAACATTTATGGAGATGTTGACTCATCAACTAAACCCTCTATAAGCTCCATTGATTTAAATGGGACTACTCTAGTTGCGACATACTTTAGCATAGTAAATTACAACTAGAGTAGGTCCATTTGAATCAGTAACATTTATGGAGATGTTGACTCATCAAATCTCCAGTGTCCAAATTATAGGTGACACGAGAGACCCATGGTTGGATTTCCTAAACTGTTGTATGATGATGTGGGCAAATTGGCTCAGAACATTAGTGCTGGGGCAAGAACTGGTTATTCCCCCTGTCAGGGCCAATTCCCAGTTGAACTTCCTCCCTCTTTCAAGCTGTTGTTAACTTTGTTGGGTGAGGGTAAGGGAGAGAGAATAACACTATAAATATCTGTTCTGATATGAGGAATCAATTGGGAAAGGGGCTGGTAGACCACCTCTCCCTCCCTCATGCCTTTTGCATGTTTAGGTTCCCAAAGGTAGCTTTTAAACAGATTCTTGAGATATCTCATTTCTTGTATCACATGTTGTATGTAGCCATTTTCTGAATACTTTCATTTCATCCCTTCCTGGTGCTCACTCAGGAAATAGATTGTCCTCTTCTTCATGGTACAAATTCTACATGACACTTATCATGGTATTTGAATCTTCCTCTCTCTTACCTCAATCCTCGATGACACTGAACACTTGTTCCAGAGCACATTTTAAGGGTACATGGAGGTGGTGAGATGAAGGAGGGTGTAAAATCTAAAACTTTCCACTCTCAGCAATGGATTCTGGCCCATGAATTCCTTAGTGAACCAGGATATTTATTGTGGTTAAATCCAAGCCAAGCCTTACTTCTGGTTCACTATGCTGAATTAGGGGTTACATAGCATTCTGACTTATATTAGGGTCATTTGAAATAGCAGCCCCCTATTAAAAAATCTGCTCAGCTATATCTTCAAAGCATGTCTTCATACAGAAAATAAACTTATATTTTCCCTACAGAAGACATTGCATACATGCTGTTGAATTAACAATTTCTTTTTGTGTTATTCTCTGTAAAATAATAAGAGTTTTTAATAGCTAAATATTAGTTTCGTAACAAAATTGCATCAATGGCGTTTGATTGGTTTGGATCTTTTTTTATTCAAAATTAGTTGCTTTTTAATATATAAAATGTAGGTAACTACTGAGTTGCTTAAATCCTGAGTCTTGCATTTTTTTTTTGTAATTTTAAAATCATGCTAGGATCCTTCAAAGCAGTATTTTCATAACTTTTGCATGGTGAATCTCTCACTGGAATGCACCCTCATGTGGTGAAATTTAGTACTTAATGCATCAATAACAATTCAGCCAAAGGAAACTAGGAACCAGACTTAAACCACAGCTATTCAATGTGTGCAACCCAGCATTGTTGATAACGACTGGCAGCCATCACCCAGAGAGGAGTTTTTCTGGATTCACTAACTGTCAAAGCCCAGGACTGAGCCAGGAGTCTCCTGTGTGTGCAGCTGGAGTGTCCTCAACTGGACTGCATCCTCTCTGTCGAGATCTGCCTGGCGCTCCATGTCAGGAGAGTCACTAGAACATGCTTGTCAATGTGCTTAATATGAGATCATGGCAGCCATCATGAGGAAATTTTACTACTTTGGAAATATACATATAGACTGAGAATACATCTGCCTGTGACATTTTCTAAGAATTTTTTTCCCTACAAGCCTGAAGCAAATGTGCTTGTGGATTGTGCCTGCTTTGGTAAATGCAAATTAGTAAGAGATATTAAAGCTCAACATTCCATGGCGGTGAGTGGGATTATTTTTCTTTTCTTAAAAAAAAACCTGCATCAATCTCTTTCCAAAATTCTTTGTCTACTCCCTGAGTTTGTTTGTGAAGGTTTCTTCTTTACTCACATCTTCCACTTTTTCTCTCTCTCTCTTGTTGTGCAGTGCATCACCCAGGGACTCATCTCAAAGCAAAATCATCCGATTCACTCTCGGTCAGAAAAAGGCTTCTAGGTTAGCATTTCTTCCTCTAATGCAAAGCATGGATACCCAACCCTCCTTGCAAGACCCCAGCGTGCATGTGTTGGGGCTCACCTTCCCAATGCTTACCTTTTGGTTTCAGACCCAGTGTTTTAAAAGCAACCCAAGCAGAGAGAAGTCTTTCATTTAATGTAGTATTTCAGTTCTGTAGGTATGTCATTTTCTAACGCTTTATCCCTCTCCTTATCCTGTAGGCTCTGAATATGTTACAGCAATATCTCTTACTCCTGTTCTAAAATTGTTCATAATTGTAATTAATAATTTTGTTATTAGTTTGGGGGTGGGTATCAAAGTTGACCTGCACTTGTAGTAATATAATGGACAGAATCCTATTGGTTATTTACACTGGAATAAATACAATGGCATAAAGCACAGCATCAGATTGGTGGTAATTAGTAATTAGCTGCCTCATGCACACCAGTCGTGTGACTTGGCATGTAGTGAAGAATATAATCAGTGACTCATTAGCTAGCAGTAATTTGTTGCTGTGATTTACACCACTGCACTTATTCCAGCATAAATTACTAGTAGGATTCTTGCCAATAGCTGCCTCCAGGCATTAATTGTGTGAAAGGGTCATCATGTCATTTCCATGAAGCAGGGGTTGGGGAAAGAAATTAGGTTTTTAATACTACTGCTCCGAGTAGTTTTAGGGCACTGTCATCCAAAAAAATTAACTTTTTCAAGTTCTGCCATGAAGTGGGGAACATGAAGTGGCAAGAACAGCTTAGAGAAGGGCACACTGCTGGCCCCTCCCTGAAGGGACAGACTTGACTCCACTTTGGTGTGGACTGAACTTATGAAGCCTAAGTGTGAGCAACTCCTTTTCTGCAGGCTTCCATGCAATCAGGACCCCTCTGCAGTGAGGGCTCCTGATCATGTAGCAGTCCATGTGTAAGCATGTATCTATTCATAGGCTTATCAGTTCACATATTCATGCTAGCATGTAGACATCTGGGGATAGAACCTGAAACATGCCTCATGCCAGGGCCAGCAATGTATCGTGCTCTGCAGCACTTTCCCCAAAGTTGGGGAGAGTTATGTAGCCCTCTTAGACAGCCGATGTTGGGAAGAGGCAGTGAAGGCAGCTTCCTGGAGGAGCTGCTTATTAACTCTCCAGCAGCTTTCTGCTATTGAAGGATAGAGCTGTATACATGATCTCCAGTCTGTGCATGAAAACTTCATGGCCCTCTAAACTAGTCTGCTGCTTCAGATACAATGGGGAATGCTCTCCCATTGCCCAAATTGAAGTGAAATTCTACTACAAGTCCCCATAACTTTTGTGTGTGGTCTGGAGAACAGTATCATTTTGTCCTTCATCTCAGGTATGTATGGAACAAACTAGAGTGCTCTGTGGTAATCACATGACACTCTGTTCATATGATTCATACATGAAGTGGGCTTCATGATAGTTTATTCCTGTGAAATTTCTACAGTATTTAAGAAAAAGAAACAAAATTACTTAAGGGATCGCTCCTGATTTAATTTTCTAACTACTCCCCATCACTGATTCTTCTAAAGTGTAACACATTCTCTGTAGAGTAATACAAGTAGTGAGTATATATCTCTTATACCAGATGATGGAAGACAGCAGCATGGATGTCATCTCGCCTTCTGGATTCCTTCATGTCCTGTAATAGGGAACATATAATCTCTCTCTGAGAATGAATAATAGATGTTTCACCCCCTTCCTTCTCCTCTGTCACAGCTTGATATACATTCTCACTTCTATAACCATCTGACAACAACACTTCCAAACGCTGCCCTAATCTCTACTAATATCTGTGGTATGGCTCACAGATTTTCTTGGGATTAATTTCACCCTTCCCATTTTGTCATGTGTCAGAAATGCTCTCATATTGCTCCATTATAGAAGGCATTGTGGCTTGCCCTTTTTTGTGCACATATTGTACAACATTAAATTTGCTCTGTAAATTAGATTCCCTTCTTCCATCTGATCATTAATCCCTTTGGTATCAAGAAGGATCAGGTTTGATGAACAAGAGTCCTTCTCCTTCTGGGACTTTTTAATCTTGCTTCCGCTGAATTATTTACATAATTTAAGGTCTCCCACCTAGGTAAGTCAACAGCTTTATGCTGAGTTTCAGAACCAGACTGGAAAAGACTTGGAAGATATGCAATAGACTCCAACCTCTTTTCAAAAACTGAAATGCAGTGATGATTGAAAAATTGATTGACATCCACCGTTGGTGTGTTCTCTTAACTTTCCATACGATTCTCTCTTTTTTGTTTTAATTAAATATATATCAAAATTGGTTTTCTATCTGCAAGGTAACGAGACAGGGTCTTTTGCTGAACATTCTGCTTAGATGGTGGAAGAGAGGCAGATCCCAGAACTCCTCATCCATTGGAATGCAAGCCACCAAGACCTTCTGGGAAAAACAACCACACTGTTATAAACTCCCACTTATTTTAATGTGGCTTTCCCCATTTTTAAGTCAGATTGTTGCCTTTGCCTGGATCCTAGATTTCCTCCCTCATCTTCCAGATTTACCCGATCACAACCTGATGACAACCTTGAGGGAACACATGTACTTTCCTATTTCCAGTTTTTTCCTTCATCTACTCATACCAACTTCTCACACCAAAAACCACCCATGGAGGTTGGGGGGGGGGGTTGAAAAACTTTGAACTGAACAAACAGACCTAAGTTTTAGCTTTGGAGAGCTTTTGTGGTTGTTGTTCTTGAGGTACATGCATGTTAGCTAAAGCTACTTTAACATGTACGTTCAAAAGAACACATTAGTTGTCTAGAAAATAAGGATGCTTTATCAAATATATGTGGCCCAAGTTTTTAGAAATATAACAGTCACCCCTAATAATTGCTTTGGATATTAATTACATTTTCCTTTACAGGTACACTGTTTAAAAAAACATTGAGTGATGGGATGGTTTGGGAGGGACTTGTGAGTGAAACTGTTCATTTTTTAAAAAAATAGCCATACCATGCCAGTATACAATTAGTGATATTACAGTAGGATCCCCATATATGCTGGGGATTTGTTCCAAGCCCCCCATGGGTACTAAAAACCATGGATAATAGCAATCTCTCTCTCTCTCTCTCTCTCGCGTGTGTGTGTGTGTGTGTGTGAGAGAGAGAGAGAGAGAGAGAGAGAGAGAGAGAGAGAGAGAGAGAGAGAGAGAGAGAGAGAGAGAGAGAGAGAGAGAGAGAGAGAGAGAGAGAGAGAGAGAGAAAGCATGGTAAAAGGGGGGGGGGAAATAGGAAAAAAAATTTTTTCGCATGTCTTACCAGAATGGGCCACTAGAGGGTGCCAGAGACTATGCCATGTGTTCATTGTGTGGTCTCTGGCTCCCTCTAGTGGCCAGTTCTAGTAATATTTCTGAAAATAATTTTTTCCCTGGATTTTTTCCTTTTAATCTTTTCAATACCGGATGTGCATCATTTGTTACTGAACCTGTGGATAAGTGGGTCCTATTGTATTTTTCATTTTATTTTCACTGAAATTTCAGTTTTTCAGTATTGCCCTATATTCTTTTGCTCAGAATGAAATTTTTAAATAATGTAGTTCCTATAAAGTCCCACAGTTTTGGCACATATTAGGCAGTTTATAGCTGGGTAAATACTTTGTAGCTTTATATTTTGTATCAGAAATAGAAAGAGGAGAGATAATTGTGGGTACCCTAGTAGACACAATAGGAGAAAAGAACTAGAACAAAGATACTGTGCTTCTCTGCAAGTATGGAATGAGCAACCTGGGGCTCTACAGGTGCCTTTGGCCCTTGGCCTGATCTCATGTGCTCCTTGGCCTAATTTCAAGTGATCAGTTCAAGTATTTGTGAATTTAATCTGTCCCTTCTGCCACAGATACCTAAGAGGTAAAGAGGGAGGGAAAGTGGGGTGGGGTGGGGGTTGAAATAGAGAGTGAAAGAGAGTTGGAACCCTTCCACGCCTCTGTCTCCAGCTCCATGCCATTCCACAGGGGGAAACATTACCTGTGCTAGAGTCAGCTGGTACCACTGCAGGAGCTCTTTCTGTGTACTTTTCAGTCAGCATGAGCTTTGCATGGAGATCCTTGCATTGTTAGTTAGGTCTTTCTCAAAGGCATGACAGATGATAAAGGGCCTTGCTTTCCTTTTCCTTCGCTGTCCTGCTGGGTTCCTCTTCTTCCTTTGTGGTCTTTTTGAGGGCTGCCTCCATATACAAGGGTGCTTGCGTGACAGACTGCTGTGTGCAACTTTCTAATACTTACATTGTTTTGGCACTCTAGTTGTACTTCCTCTATAGCAGATATGTTTTTGGGAAAGTAACAAACATATAATTGTCTGTGTTTAAGTGCCCAGTGGAGATGAGGAGCTAAATATGTAAGTTGTGCTCAAGCTTTTGTAAGCATGTGCATGCATTTACAAAGACCTACTATCCTTCGTCTGACTCCTTCCCTGGTTCATCTGTGAATTTTTTGGGAACAAGGCATTGCTAACTCACTTTTCTTCTCAGCCTTAAAGGTGCAAGTGAAGTAATGAAGGTTTGTAATCTTGCTAATTAGATGGTAATTCTGTCAGCAGGAAACTATATACTAATAAATGCTTTAATTGGTTTTTAGCCTATAGGTTATATATGAAATACTTTAAATCATCAGAACAAAGATGGAAATCAGTTGCTATACAGAGGCACTAGTCACTGGATATTTTTGAACAATACATCATGAGATACAAATTAGTATCATTGCTGTGCAGAAAAAAAATCTGGTTATATTGTACCTAAGTTGAGTTGCGTTGATTTAGAAACCTTAGAATGAAAAACACAGCACAAAGGATGCAAGATGTAGCAATCTTAAGTACACTTTCTGAGGAGTAAGCTTCATTGCTCTCAACAAGACTTAGTTCCAAGTAAAGATGCTTAGGACTATGCTGCACTGCTAAAAGCTAGAATCCTCTGTGGCAAATCTGCATTCTGAGATTTCACAGTAGAATATTTATCTAGTGATAACTAAAAGATTGGCAAGAGTCATTGTTCATGCCCTCAAAGCACTGCTGGGGTGTGTGACACATGCTTATGTTTCATGTGCACACATATCTGTAGGATTCTTGATTGGGGTGAAGAGCCCTTAGCTCCCCACATATTTTGGTCTTCAACTCCCAGAAACTCCAACTGATATGGGCAGTGTTAAGAAACTGTAGAAGCTGGTGTCCAAAATAGAGATGGGATATTTGTATTCATATCCCTAGAAAAACCGGACCCTCCCCTCAGAACCATCCAGTCCACTTACTGCTTACTGGGTGACACGTGTGGCTGTCATTGTTCACATTGCGCCAATTGTGGAGGTAGCCCGGCCATCACTTCCTCACCTCCCCAGTTACCTGGAGATACAAATATAAATATCCCATCTCTAGTCCCAAACATTGGGGGAGAGAAAGATTCCAAAACACAGATATTATAGTCCATCTGTAACCTATCAGATGCTTGGCCATGATCAGTAGCTGGAGGACGCCACTTGCCTTGATGGGATAGCCTCCATTGTTCAAACAGATACATTTGTTTCTTTTGGTTGCTTAAAATTTGTTAGGATCTAATAGGCATTTCCCACGAGCTAGAGATAGACACCCCCCCAAACAACATTCAGGTTTGAAGACATGCTGTTTTGGTGGGCATTTGACTATTTAAAAAATAGGCATGTCTTCCATGTTCAGATCTGATATTTCCCAATTTGAGCATTTTGCCTTTTCAAAAATCAAGAAAACAGTGGCTATTAACATCATTTGGAAAGTGAACATGTATCTGAGTGCATTAGGATTTTTAAAGGCAGACTGTTTCAATATTTGCAGCTAACTGTCTACATATAAAATGCTTCTGATACGTAGTCATTTTGGATTACCTTTGTTATACTATAAGGGGCGTGGTGGCGCTGCGGGTTAAATGGCAGAAGCCTCTGTGCTGTGAGGTCTGTAGATCTTCAGCTGTAAGATCGAATCCACGTAACAGAGTGAGTGCCCAATGCTTGTCCCAGCTCCTGCCAACCTAGTGGTTCAAAAGCATGCAAATGGGAGAAGATAAATAGGGACCACCTTCGTGGGAAGGTAACAGCGTTCCGTGTCTAAGTTGCACTGGCCATGTGACCACGGAAGATTGTCTTCGGACAAAACACTGGCTCTATGGCTTGGAAACGGGGATGAGCACCACCCCCTAGAGTCAAACACGACTGGACAAAAATTGTCAAGGGGAACCTTTACCTTTACCTTGTTATACTATGATTAGACAATTCCTCGGTGGTATAAAAGTTGCATTATATAAGAGCTTGAAAGAGCTTGGCTTTTACCATAGAGGAGTGACCAGTCCCATACCCCATCTTTGGGCCAGCTCTCTCTGTTGAATTGACTGGGAAAACCTTTGTACTAGAGCTGCAGATGAGCACAAGAGCAGACATGGAGCTGTACACTGAGGCAATAATCTTTTGTGGGAGAAAAACAACCTCCCCTGTTTGATATGAATGTAATCTAAACCTATTCATGACTCTTTGCTTATTTCTTTACACCTTGAAAACAGACTTCCAGGTCCTACCATGAGGGTTTCAGCTGCAGGCAGCGAAGCAAAAACCCGTGGTCCAGTTAGTGCCAACAACCGGCGCAGCCAGAGCTTTAACAACTATGACAAATCCAAACCCACAAGCCCATCTTCCCTTCTGTCAAACAGCAATGAGAAAGGTAAGTTATGGAAGCATTTAATATTCAACCTGATGCACTGCTCCAAGCAAGGGAAGTGTTTTAAAGTGTATGTGCTTATCTTCTCCATTGAGATTAATGCAACTTGAATGTACTTAAGGTTGACTGGATTGTGCCCACATGGCATAGGCTTTGTGTAAAACAGCTATTAAGGTAGTATCGTTTTGGTACTAACTGTACATGCAGTGACAGCCCTGGAAGGAAAAGCAGCTGTTTGGAAAGGTTTGGTTACTTGAAAAGTCCATGTCCAGAACCTTGCCAAATAGCCACTTATATGATGTAGCTCTGCTTGTGGTAAATACCTATATAATACTGGATTTAGTGTAGTAAGTTTCTTGAGCAAGTGGTTCTCAGCCTTGGGTCCCCGCCTGTATTTGGATTACAGTTCCCAGAAGCCTTCGCTGCTAGCTGTGTTGGTCAGGATTTCTGGGGTTTGCAGACCCTTGGGTCCCCCAAGACCATCCCAAGGTTGGGAACCGCTCTCGGGAAAACCAAGAGATTCTCCATCCTGCAGAGTTCTGCTCTTATTTGTTTCACAGATTTTTCATGAGGAAAGAGGTGACAAAAAGATGGTACATGTACGGTTTTTTATAGGAGCATGCAATTACTTGGCATAGATTTTTGTGTGTGGTGTTTTGTATATAGTGGGCGAGAACCCTTCTACAAATACTGGAAGGCAGGGAAAGTTGTCTTGAAGAGCTGGCACATCATGTCTTCACCCCATAAATCCAAACTAGAAGAAGTCAGTGGAGGGGTTTAACTGATAGTGTAGAAACATGATGGCTATATCAGAAATTGGCAAGGCAGGCTTGCTCCCTACAACTAAAAATGTGTCATCACGCATGCCATCCATTTTGTGGACACTTTGGAACAATGCCCTGATCTTCAACAACTTTTTTCCATTATAAATCATGCTGTCCAAGAACTCATGTAGAGTTCCAAACAAATGCTTGCAAGAATAAACAGAGAAAGCAGTTTTGGGTGAATTTGAAACAGAAAGGTACTAGCAGGGGAAAGGGTTAAGCACATTTACATCCCCTCCCCACATGGTTTCTCTGCTTCACATTGTGCTCCACCGAAAAGAGCCTGTTACAGATAACATTCAAAAGGCTTCCAAAGAGTTCTTCATACTCTTAGTCCTGCTGACTGTTTGAACTTTAGTTTGTTTGATCGTTCTCTTTTGCTTCTAGAGAAAAAGATAAATAGATATTTGAATACCATGTGTATAGCATTTAGTCTTCAAAACTCCGCTGGCTGCAGCCCTGAAATGTATATTCCTGGTTCAGCATACAGTAATTGAACCAAGTCCCCTTGTTACCCTGTAACCTTTTTCATCAGCATATGCACAGGCATACAAATTATTTGAATGAAAATCCTCCTGTTCTGGTATCCTATAATTTCTGCTTTGTTGTTTAGAAGCTAGCATCAGTCCTAGGATGTGGAAGCTGAAAAGTCATTAAGAAGAAACATATTTTTGATTAACAAGAAAAGTGGGGGCATTCCCAATGGTTCTGTTTGATAAATAAGCCTGTTGCCTCCTGCTGTCCCCACCCCACATCTATAGAAAGGTTGAAAGGTACCGAATGTTTAATTTCAAGGATCATTGGATACAGGCTTGATAACTGGAAATGTGTTGAAGCTTTATAGATGTTACAGAAAACTGAAACATGTTATTGTGAATGCAAAATACAGTGTTCCTAAGAGATGCCCTGCAGAATTGTGTTTACTGAAAATGGTTCCTCCACCCAAGTTAAATTGTTTGGTTTGGTTTTAAAAACACAAATTGAGCATCTCCAAATCCATGCCACCGAACCTTAGGATCTCCTTCCCACTAGTGGAAGTTCATGCCCATGTAGCTTGAAGGTTCCCTCCAGCAGGTTCTTCTGAGAAGGATTTGAAGGGGCTGCTGTGGGAAGGATGGGCCAAGGAATATTTCTTCTGCTAGTGCGTTGTGTTTATCTACAATCTCATTTGCTCACTTTCAATAGCAGAAAGTTTTCAGGCAACTTACAGAATAAAATGAATCTATTAAAAACAGCAGTAAAAGGGATAGATATTGCAACAAAATGCAAGCTGACATCTTAATTTAGAAATTTGTTGTTGTTGTTTAGTCGTTACGTTGTGTCCAACTCTTCGTGACCACATGGACCAGAGCACGCCAGGCCCTCCTGTCTTCCACTGCCTCCTGGAGTTGGGTCAAATTCATGTTGGTAGCTTCGGTGACACTGTCAAACCATCTCGTCCTCTGTTGTCCCCTTCTCCTCTTGCCCTCACACTTTCCCAACATTAGGGTCTTTTCCAGGGAGTCTTCTCTTCTCATTTAGCAATTACAGTGTTGTAAATATCTGGTCCTTCATACTTGAGATGCTGCATACTTGAGCTCTAAATAATTGTCAGCAGATTAATATCAGTAAGATATCATGTATGTTCAGTAGGAATATCCAACATGGTCCCATGCAGGTTTATTTAGTTTCCTTTGCATACACCTGTATTATATATAGGCTTCCAAATGTCAAACTCTCCAAGTGTCCATTGGACAAAATAGGAGGGCATCCCCTAAAAATTTGGGATAAGCTACCCTCTGAACATCTTTGGGTTAATCACTGTCTCAAGGTCTAATTTGTATCCCAGGAGTATTATGAGAATAAAGCTCCTCATGTGATATACCCAGAGCTCTACAGAGAACAAGTAGAAAGTTGGGATAAGACAAACAGGGGAAAAAACAACCTTTTTTGTGTGTTAAAAAAAGAGATGGGGGAGTTTTTATATGTTTATGAGGCAAATATATAAGAAAGAATCTGACTCTGAAGTCTCAGGTCAGCTGTTAACTTTTTACTTGTTTCTGTAACTTAAATAATTCCCCCCCCCCGAGTATGATTTCCTGCTATCTGGCCATCATTATATTTTCAAAATTTGCATTTTTAAGTGATTACATATGGAGTGGAACTTCCTGTTCATACAGAATCAGTGAAAAGTTACATTTTTGTAGAATGGCCATCACAAAGTTGTGCCGTACAACTTTTGCTTTTTATGGATAAATATTTGGATTTATGAATATTTGGAAGTGAGTGTGATTAGGCACTATGTGGTAGTGTTTGTTTATACTGTCTGAAGATGAACCAGAGTATTCTAATTCTGTATTTCTTAGCCATCTCCAGCTGCTGGTAAATTTATATTTTCCACTGTAAACACTGAGTGAGGACAGCAGTTAAAATACAGCCAAGCTGATGAAGAGTTCTGGTATACTCAGAAGCTTACATACTTTGGTGGCATTTGTACTGGTACTGGCAAAAATATTGCCAAATTGGATTTTGGAGTAGCAGGGCTTTCTGTCTTCCCTTCCCTTCCTTACTTCCCAATAGAGAAAGCATGACATAGCTTCTGAGTCTTTTATATCTCTTCTCAAAGGCATTATATTCAGTAGGAAACAATGAATCTCTGAAAGAAAATTATACCATGAAGCTAAAAAATGAGATGCATTTGTGAACTCTGGATAGATATTCAAGACAGTTATGTTGGGACTTTTCACTCATTACTCCCATGACTAAGGAAGGCAAAGTATGTGGGGCAATGGCTTTGTTTCCTTAGTGCTGTCGAGAAACCAACACCATGTAACCACCCCCCGAGGTTCCCAAATGTCCCTCCAAACTGTCTTCCCGTAGACTTTGCATGAGTCAGACAATGCACCAAAAATGGGCTTATTTAACTTAGAGCAAATGCGGTACATATGAGCAAACACAAACTAGCTTTAGCCGGTCAGCATATGAGGAGGCCCTACCTCTGTTTGCCTATAGAGTGTAGAGGTGGCACCAGTCCTCTTTCATTGACGATTTGGAGCACCCCTTGAAGGTGGCAAGGCAGAGTCTCCTGCAGCAGGGATGGTTGATGGTGAGAGCCAGCCTTCCTCAGACAGTGGCCTCTGTCTTGTTTTCAGCCATCACAAGTCGGATGGCCACTGTTTTAGGGAGTGGTGCACTCATCTTTCTGGGATGGCAGTCAAGTGCTTGTACCTCTCCAGAGGTCATGGATCCCATTACTTTCCTCCCTGGTTGGTTTTGGGCCCAGCAATGCCTATCCCAGTATTCCTGTTCACTCCAAAAGGAAAGTTTCTTTGGGGTCTTGGCTCTGTGGATGCTCTGTCTTTTCAGAAGAAATGAGCAACTGTGCCCACTCCACAGTCCAAGGGTCCTTCTGCTTGTCCAATTCTCAGCCTTCATGGGTCTGTGTCTTGGAGGGGTTTGCTGACTCTGCCTAACAAGCCTCCCAGTCCAATTCCTCCTTTGCCTCATGCCAGTTGTCTTCTTCCTTTCCCTCCAGATCCATCTCCCTTTTATACTCCTTCAATAGAGGTTCCCCTCTTCCCTCAGGAACCTTCACCAATGGATGTTCACCTTTCTCCCAACAGATACCCCCCCGTTCCTCATCCACTCCCCAGTCTACCAGGGAACTGCAGGAAAGTCCTCTGGCGGGGTAGAGAAGCGGCCCAGCCCAGTGGTGGTGTCAGGTAGAGCTCAGCGCTTCCTTTGACATCCTCACACACCTCTCTTCCCACTGTTATTGACACTGTATGCAACATAACTTCTGAAGTTATAGTCACTTCTTGCATAATTTATCACTCTCAGGATTCTAACTGATAAGAGGAGCCACCGTAGTTTTCCAAAGTTACAATGAATTTTGTATCAGACACAGTTAGGTTGAGAAATGTGACATGGCTAAATTCCCAAAACTGCTACATTCACCACAGTTATGTTAGTCAAATGGATAAAGCTTATGAGAGTCTTTAAAAGGATTTATAAACACACATGTCTTGTTTTTACAACAATGAAAACAACAACTGTGTGACTTGTTTTCATTGTTGTTAAAAACAAGTTATGACTTACAGTATGGCAACCTTTTCCAAGGTTTGTACTTAGCAGTGTCTTATCTTTCCCTAGTTTGCTTTGTATTGTGTAGCTTTTCCAAAGCTACACAGGCTGGCTGTT